AAAAAAACTGAGTATTGAAAAGCAAATTCCTACCGAAATTTAAACATTTCACGAATAAAATTCCATTCTTAAATTTTTACGTCCTATTTCTTGCAAGTTATATTATGTTCTGTTTGTTGTTCTTTCTTTTCAAGAACTTTCAAAAAGGAGGTAGAAAAGGAGCATAATTCATGTACCTTACCCATTAAGTACAAACGTTTAATGCCCTTTCAAGTGTGGTGTTATTCTTATGGTTATCTTTTAAGCTGCGCCTTACTGCTTGCTCCAGTAGCCTTCATATTATCACAATATTATAATAAATAACTTGGGAAAGATTCTCATATGAAGTATAGTGGAACCAGTAAATTTGTTGATCCAGGCATTATAAGGTAAACACGGGAGAAGGATGCTTGCAAATGTGGTCAGACTCTTGATAGAGTTCCCCAAAAAAGAGCAAATTTTCATCACAGCATCAGATCTATATCTTCTCCATGATGGATAGAAAATCCAAAAGGAGATTTATGTAGACTCTTACTTGAGTTTCAGTCTCTTGTGAGTTATCATTAGATTTCCTCCAACCCTTTCCTTTTACTTAATCAGAGAAGCTTAGTTGCTTGTGCATCTTTGAGAACAAAATTACTTCCCCAGAAAAATGTGAGAACAGACTTTTTCCCCTGTATATCCTAACATCACAGGTGGCTGTGGTAGAGTAATAACATAGAGATGGACTCTGTTAGCAAATGCTGGTTTCTTCCATGTGTGTTTTTGTTTGTTTTCCCAGGGTGTTTTGCCCATCCACATTCCAATCCCTATAATGATACTTCTGTTTATTGTTGTTATCACCATCAACAGCAACTATAATCTGGCTCACAGTTTCTAAGAGCCAGGTCACTCCTTAGTTACCAGGAGAAAACCCAAACCAGTTGTTCTTTCATGTGTACAAAATCCCAGTCTTCTCACATTGCAGTGACCCTAACAGCATTTTGAGACTCCATGAACGAAACAGATAATAGAGCTATGTCTGCATTCTGATGCATTAAAAAAAATTTTTTTCTCCCTGAAGGTTGAAAGATTAACCGTGTAAATGAGAGAGTAATTATCAGGTATCTGTCCGTGTATAATAATGTCTTTATTGGACTGGAGAGTGTGTTGGGAAGAGGCAGTGGGGAGGGGGACAGAGTAGGGAGCATCGGGACTCTCACCCATCACTTGGCAAGAAGAGATCATGGAGGCCTTGGGTAGGTGACTTACCAACAGTCCATGTAATCAGACAATTCTCTAGAAACCTTTTCCTTTCTCCACAACTTGGGTGGCTATGGAGGGACATGTATGAGGGACATAGACTTTCCAGGCATTCTTGAAACAGTCTTTTCAACACATTTCTAAAAATCAAGAGGGAAAAATATCACAAAATCACAAAGATTGAAAGGAAATGGGTGTGAAATAGATAAAAATTGCAATTATAAGATGCTTCTAAAGAAAAGGTTTTGTTTATGAGGTGGTTGGGTGCATAGTTTTAAAGTCAACCTCAGTGAAAACTGTGGCTTTGCCACTTAGCCGTGTGGCTTTATGCTGCTTATTTGTCTTCCCTGTGTTTTATTTTTCCTCATGATCAAATACAAAATTGGGGTGTATATATAATGCCTAATCAACCTATGATCTCAGTTTTAAAACTCTATAAAAATACATTGAAAGCACTTAGCACAGGATTTTGAATACCAGGGACACTCACTCCTGCCTCCAGGCCTTTGTACTTGTTCTTTTTGCTTGCAAGCTCTTTCCCAGACCTCCACCTCTTACTCTCCGACCTCCTTCAGGTCTTCAGTCACATGTGACCTTCTCAAGGAGGGAGGTCTTCCCTGTCCACCCTCTCTAAAGTGTTTTCTCTTTAGTGCTTGTTAGCATATAATATGTATTTTTTTATCTTAGTTATTACTGTATTAGCACCTAATATACTGTGCATGTATTAATTTCTCTTCTACTAACTTAAAGAAGTTTGGGAGTTTATTCACTGCTTTACCTTTGGTGTCTAAACAGTCCCTGACACAGAGTATGCAATCATTAAATGAATAGCAAATGCTGAGTAAATATCATTATACCTGCTGTATTGAATTGAGTATTTTTTATAGTTCACAGCATCATTTGCTAGCTAATGTAGGAGGTGCTTGAGAAGTTTATAATGTTAAAGTTATGCTCAGTTTACAGTATTAATTTGCTTACAAAATTCCTTTCTATAGTTAATTCAAAATTATTAGGTTCCAGTGTGATGAAAGTTTTATTTACATTAATACTTCATATAGAAAATGTGTAGCTACAAACTGGCAGGTAAATCTGAGAGAGAAAGAATAGCTGAACATTTATCATGTGCTTGCTGTAAACACAAGAGACACAGTATTAGTTAAGGCACAGGCTCCAGAATCAGGTTGTCTTTGTTCAAATCTTCATTCTGTCCCTTCCTGAGTGAGCTTGTGCTGGTTACCTAACCACTCTGTGCCTCAGTTTCCTCAGTTATATAAAGAACATAATATTAATTCATATAAAAGTTTTAGAAAAGTACCTTTTTCATAGAATCAGTAAATGATTAAGTGCCAGGTGTTTTCTGAGCACTTCACATGAGTAAGTTTGTTTAAACCTCATGACAAGGTATGAGGTAGGTACTATTCTTAGGCCCCTTAGTACATTTTTTGAAATGCAAATAGCTACTTGTTAATGTTCAGATCCTCTTAAAGTAAGACCTAGCTTTTTT